TATAAGCGGGTCTCCTTGTAGCCTATACCTTGAAATATGTTTGTTTTATTAATATTTTTTCGGGGATTTTTTCTAATTTCAGGCCTTATACGTCATCACTACACTTAGTTGATGATGTAAACACGCAAATTAGGTGATTTCGTACACAATTTTATTCGTTTTAAGTAGTAATTTCTGCTGTGTACGCGCGCTGACTTTCAATCTTCTAATACGTTTATTTGTATTAGTAATTAAATTTGTATTATTTATGTTTGTAATTTAAATAGTTTATTCGATGCAAAAATAGTAATTTATAGAAATAAACTCGTATTAATTATTATATATTTTAATATTTTAGCATTAAAACGTCGTTACAGCAACATCCCCAGCTGCATTTTTATGATCTATGTGACAGAGAGGCAATTTTTCTTTCTTAAGAAAGTCATTTTAATCACTTTAGATTTCAATTTTATTAATTTGTACGCAAGTTTTTATGGATCGTTTGTGCTTACAGCAACGAAGAATAGTAGAGACAAACAGTAGTGTAACTTCTGAGTGCGTAAGAAACAGTAGAAAGTGTTTTTTGTACTGTTATATGAATAAATTTATTGTATTTTATGCCAAGTAGGAGCATAGAATAGGAGAAACAGACAGTAGAGAGACAATTTATGCACTTCTGAGTGTATAAAAAACATTATAAAGTGACAATTTCAGCGTTTTTGTAGTATTTAGGAATAAATTTCTTGTATTTTACATACTTATAAGCTTAGAATAGGAGAAACAAACAGTAGAATGATAATTTCAGTGTTTTTGTACCGCCATAGGAATAAATTAACTTTTATTTTTATGCACATTATGAAATATTTATACATTTATAATAACGTATTACATTTAAAACATTTTGAATTACAGATGTATGAAAGTTTGCTCCATTAAAGAGGATTAAAAAAACTTTTCGACATTCTTATCTACCTGTCTCGATCTGCCATAGTAGATTATGTCATATCATCAATACATCTTTAACATTATGTTCTCAAAATACCAGTTTGGTATCATGTATATTTATTACGTGATTGCCAGTTAGAAAAGGCACCACCCAAACTCCCTACCGTAAAGAAATGCGTTGTAAGAAGCATTTTGCACACCAGAAAATTACGGTTATTGCCGTTTCTTCGATTCATTTACTTAGAAAAACACGGGAGAAAAATCGAATATTTTTCTTACATACGACCTCGTAATTTATCTCTTTTTTTCTACGTTAATTCCAGTAGATTTGGAGGAAAAAAAGACCCGTTTGATGTCATTAATATAAATTAAAACCATCGAGGGGCCTTTCTAGTACATAAAACTTACTTCGCAACGTTATCCCATGACAATGACAGATTGCGTAAGTTGTCACCGTGTACCACATGTCCCGCTAGATTATTATATAAAATAATTGGTAAGCTATACGATAGTTTGTTCTTCTGTGTTTATACGTCGAGAGGGATAAACGTTACTCTCATATTAGCAGTAATAAGCCAGAATAATACACCTAAATTACAAGTAATACACATGAATTACTATGAACAATATGAATAATAGTCATACATCTTACATGGCTCTGTGTAGTAATATTTGTATAAACATACAGAGCTTATAGTACACAACAGTATACCGAGAATAATATACATAAAGGTTAAGATTAATTTACGTAAATTAGAGTAATACGCGCAAATCTTACACGGGTATGTGTATTAATATTTATTTCTTGTATAGTATAAGTTCTCTGTGTTTAATACACATAGAATGTATACTACATAAGGAATAAATACAGTTTAACACTAGTACATATACAAAGAATAATATACCCACGTGGATTCCTCTTGACAATAATATATACACGTCTTATACAAGCTCTATGTGTAACACATAAAGTAAACACAGACATAACAAGGATAATACACGTAAATTAAGAATCGTACACAAGAAGTACTGTACAGTATCAAGAATTATGTACTTTACGTTAAAGTTAACAATATTACACGTGAATTTAGAGCAAATCACAAGAATTATACAATATATACAAGAGTAGTTGTCGTGTACTACTCTCACTTTTGTACGTATTATTCTTGATACAGGTACTAAGTTACTGGAAAAATTCAAAAATATATTAATAGTAGTATACGTATCAATAATAATATATTGATATATAACAGTGTTACACACGAATTGCTCTTAAGGGTAGAGCAACATACAAGTAAATATATGTACAGTACAAACGTTAATTTTCGTAAGTAATACACGTGGTCTATGTGTAACATATAACCGAGTAATTGATAAGCTAAGAAGATACTTAGAAGAATTAATAGGTTTTTACGCACGAATTACCAACGAAGTATCGTTGAAAGAGCTTTAATTCTACGTCCTTTTGTAAGTAGAATTAACAAAGCATCTTTAGTGTATTTGCGGAAACAATTTTAGAAATGAAAGTGCTCATGCATTCATCTTTTGTAATGTTTTATCGCAGTAGATTATGAATTACTCCCTTGGATCGATTTAGAAACCGAGTGAATTACTCGAAAAAAATCTGGCGTATAAAAAATAATTAGAAAGTATGCGGCCTTCGTGCAAATTTACTTCATTTTTTTACTGTTTTTCTCAATGATTCTGTACTTAAATTACTCTCGAGAGTCGGAGTGGTACACAAATAAACAGTAAAGTAATAGAAGAAATTAGAATTTAATACACTTGAAAGTTAAAAACGACACACAACACTTCAACGAATACGTGAATTACGAGGGTGCGTAACGTAGAAATATTCTTAACTGTATATAGTTATACTCAGCGTAACACCCGAACCTCCCGTGCAAAATAATCAAGCGTTACGCTTAATAAAATGCACCTTTAATAATTAATGCGTGTATACGTTCTGTTACTCTTGATAGGTAATAATAATCAGTAATAAATTACTCCTGATTAATATGTATATAATAAATCACACGTGCACGATATACGTACGTGGATATATTACCCTTTAATAATCACACGTATTAAAATAATTTACAGTTTATAAGTAACAGAATCGATAACACAATCAGGAATAATGTGTATTGCCCCCGTTCTTGATAAATAATATAATAATGGAGGGTCTGTAAGCTTTAACAAGTGTTTATAGATTTATTAAGAGTGTTAGTGTATGCAGAATTAATAATTACTCCCGATAAATCGTGCCGGTAAGCGCATGTGTTTCGTCACGAGTTCTATGTAGATTTATACACAGTATAAGTAAGTTTATGAGCGATATTTTCGAGGGGAACGTTGCCCCTGTTACATGTTTTTATAGAGACGTATAAATGATAAATTGATATATTTTTTATATATATACTTTATAAGTGATAGAAAGATCTATATTAATTAAAGGTATGAATCACGTTACGCACACGCTTAGGTGCAGAAAACGTGACGAATTTGCTCGCCTAGAAAATTGTGTACGTGTGTGTGTGAAAGAAAGAATTTAGCGCCATTCTTTAACACACGAGGGCGCTGTGGACAGGTAGACGAGAAAGGTATAAGAGGGAGGAGGAGTCAGATGACGAGCGTGTTCGACGTTTAGCCCACACTTTTTTTGACAAATACTCCAAGTATTCCATAAAAGAATGCATTGACTACCAGGTCCCGTCTTAACGGACGAAAGGGGGGGTCGGAAAACTCTGGAATCGGACACTAAGACGGGACAGTCCGTCAACAGGTGTCGTAGGAAAATAACCAATAAACGAAATGGTTTTCATTCCCTCCCAGTCGAAAATCTTGTTTGAAGGACAGGTTGGCAACAATGATTATTCTAGTTCGCTCCCATATTACTACATCCAGGGGTGGATAGGTAGACGAACAGGGTGAGGAACAGGTAGTAAGCAGGTAGACAAGATGGGCTACAGGTTTCCTAATGTATGCAACAAACAGGCTCGGTGAGGCCCAGACCCCACCGACACAAAAGGACGAGTCCAGGTACCGGGGCGTCAGTGGCCCGTGAGGTTTCCCCCCTCTTACACCGTATTCAGTTTTGCCTGCAGGCGCCTTTGACTTTTTCCTTCTGTGTACGCCATAACCCTGGAGCAAGCCTCCGGGACCAACAGTCTATGTAACGTTAAAGTATGGCCCAGTTAAGTCCCATGTCACAGACGGGGAGTCCTACTTCGCAGAAAAGACAAGCCAACGAAGATGGCGACGAAGTGACGAACCAATTATCACCTGGCGAAGGAGTGAAGACGCCTGATATACCTTCGGCGTTCGGTCTGATAGAATCCGCAGAGGTGAATCGTCTAACCTTTTATTTTTTTACCCTTTATTTTATTCGTTTTATTGGCAAATTATCAAAGGAAACTTTTGCTGCCACCCGGCAACTATTTTCTTTTGCTCGACTCACTTATTCTTTGCCTAGTAAAATTTGATTTTTCCTATCCTAGAACCTTATATACTGGAGTGTGTGTGTAGCTGGGGGGCTAACGGCAACCCACACTATTTACTAGCAACCAGCTGATAGATTCACAGGTGAAAGCCTTAGGCATGCAGCTGTATGCACTTGTGCCAAATATATCCATCTTACATTAATGCCATATTTCCTATCGGCATTAATGCCTATCCGCAAATTGCACGCTCGTTCAAATTAGTGCCTTACTTGCCAAATTTCTCTTCGTTTTCTCACCTCTTTCGTTCTTTTGCCGCCAATTTCAATGATACTTTTAGTCTTTAATATTTATAAATATTATATATGCTTTAACACCGGTTTATAATTTCTAAAAATATCGAAAGTATTTAATATTTTCCATACTTTTCGGTCTTTTATCAGGTAGAAATTTATACTTTTAGTTAAAAAATTCTCTTTATTTTGTTATAAGTGTAAGGAATTTTTCTGTATTCTTAACTGTACTTTATTTGTTTATTGTTTATTTACATCGTGTTGTGGGCGTGTTTAATAGTTAATTTAGTGTTTTTTCGGCGTGAATATTGTGAAGGAATTAACATTGAATCTTTGTTTGCAGGAGAGGAGGGACTTGGTGAGTGGCCACACAGCCAGCTTAGGACCCATCACGAGTATCGGTTCGGTAGGTTCGACGGCAACTTTCAGCACAACTCCGCGTCTGACACACACACCGACATCGGCAGATTTTCAGCCTCCTTATTTTCCTCCACCTTACAATTTACCGCAGCAACAAATCGACTTTCATCATCCTCACGTCAATGCAGATCCATACAGTCATCTCAATAGCCTGACTGCACAGCACCCACAACAGTATCATCAACTGCACCCTCCTCAACGCACTCACAATGTCTTGGGAGGTAGAAGAGACGATGATCCTCTACATATCCAAGCTAACATGCATCCGGGTTTACCCGGTGCTTACGGTGATTCCGGAAGAAGAACGGAATCGGCTTACGCAGCCATACGAAGACCCGATGTCTTGATGACAGGTGGACATCATGGACTTAGTGAACAAGATCTGCTCAATTTGCAAAACGCGGGAGCATTACCTGCATTAGAGGACGGTCAGGTAAGATTTAACAATGCTCAGTAATCGTAAATTATTAATAGTTTACCCATTTTAAATACGCCAAACAATAGAAGCGATAATGATCGAACAGCGAAATGGTGCCGAAAACTTAAAATAGAATGCCAAGAATCGCTTCAATTTAAAAAAGAAAATAAAAATGACCAACTTTTGAAAATGGAGATATATATATAGAGAGAGTTTTCTTTCACATTTGATATCTGTAGTATAAGGATACAACTTTGACCGAATCGTTGGTACGTCTTTTTTTTGGCCCTAAGCTAAAAACTTGGGGTTGGCCAGATGGTGAAAAGTCAATGTTGACATAACTCTGTGTCCAGTAAAGGTCGCTGTTTGACTCGCCGAGTTGTCCGAGTTTATTTTTTTGTGATCTTTTCCGTTTTTTCTTTTGCTTTCTACTCCCCTCTTGCTGTCAATTTTACGTCTTTTAACTGCCGTGATGTCTTCTCTTTCAGGTCTACATCTACCAACACCAACTTCTAAACTTGTATTTTCCAATTGACTATTTACTGATAAGAAACTAACTTTATATAGTAGCATTTATAGCTCCAAAAATATATATATTTTTTCTTTGGTGTAACGGACGACCCGAATGCTCGACTTTTTAAAAAAATCGGTTTGCGATTGTCCATTTTGAAACGATTATAGAAAATTTTTAAATGATTTTTTTGAAATTCTATCTGAAAATTATGGTTGAGAAATTTGTTAAAAACCCCTACAAACAATAGGAATTTCGATCAAACAATTTCATTCCTCACGCAAAGTGTTTGAGTGTAAACATATCATTTTATTAAAAATCTTCTAAATAAATAAACTGTAAAATTACTTTAAAATAAATATTATTCGAAAGGAAATATTTGATAAAAATTTCATTAATTTGAGTGAATTTTTTTTGTAAATTTTTTTACAAAATATTTTTAAAAAATCTACAACGTTCCCGTGTTTAACTTAGCCATTTTTTTCCCCTTCTTCTTCTCCTCCTCTGACAAGGGTCACGCATCAAAGAAATAAACAGCATTTGGTATTAAATAAAGAATACACCATCTTAATAATTTGGCAAAGACCACGTGTTATAAATGTACACTGTACATTGATCTCACGTGACGGAAGTAGATGTCGCAAAAGTCGTATTGACACAACAGCTGAGAACGTCAACAGCCAGAGGCTCAGAAAATACTTTTCAACAGTAATATGAAGGAAGTACTTTCTTTCGATCTGTTCAAAGTAATTTATCCATGTCTTTGGTTAATGTTCCATTTAATACCTTAATAACAATTTTTTTTATTTTTGTTTTATCAGCGTATGTAAATAAGATTCTGTATTCTTAAGCGGTCGCCATATTGATTTTTTCTCTTCCAAAAATTTGCTTTTTTTTTCCAATTTTTATCTCTATCGAATTAGTTTTTTCGCCTGTTTTTTTCCCATAAATTTTAACTAATATTTGTTTCCTTAAAGGATGTACACACGGCGAATTAAGTGTTACGTGTTACCTTTGTGACACCTCTAAAGAGACGTTACGTATATCATCCATACTGGGTTTTAAATTTAAATTTTCGTGGGTGAAGGTTCATAAATTAGTGGTTTAATTCGTCACCAAACAATACTTGGCATTTAAGTGTTCCTAAAGCGAATTGTGTATACGAAACCTCACTATATTTAAAAGAATGTACTGTTACGAGCTTAGTACGAGCGATTTAACTCCTGTTAATTCATCAGAATGGCGAGTAACAGAACAGTTTTCGGTATCCATCCGTGGATCACTAATTGGGGATCAAAATGGCTACCGAAGCGTAACAATCTAAAAGTGGCAAGCGTATCTTTCGATTGCTTCATTGTTTAGAAATGTGTTACGCGAAACTTTCCAGGAAGGGTAACAATTTTACCAAAGCTCACGTTACGTTGTTTATGAAGCAGACGGGAAATTCGATTATGGGACAGATATTTTCCCAAAAAACTTATGGAATATTCTTCTTTATTGACATATTCTAACAGAAGTTTGGTCAGTGACCTTGCAAAGACGTTGGATGTGTCAAAAATAGAATCTCGCTACCAGCTTGAACTATTCGCTTCAACGATTCAAATCGAGTTTTGCCGATTTTTTCCCCCTTCACGTCGATCATCCTGTATACATTTCACAGTGTGATGGTTCTTCGATGATAAGATTGATGATAGGGAAAATCAAACGATGCGGTAACTCAAAAGCTTCCAAGTTGTTTCGTCGCCCGTGACTAAATTTACCATATTTTGGTTGTTCCATCCTCGGAAAAATTTTAAATATAATACAATTATTTATATGATAAAAGCCTGATAATTAGTTGAAATTCAAATCACGGTTGTGTGCAGTCTTATCTGGTGATAAGTCTTGTCCAACATACAATCTGTCGACACACCACTCGCAGGATGTTTCTTCTATTTTTTTATTAAATAGACCTTTTTAGTTCTGATTTTATTATTTAAATCTCTTGTTAGTGTTGTTTTTTATTAAATAATAGTGTATCTAGTCCTGTTTTTACTCTTATTTTAGATCCTGATTTTATTCAATTCCGTTTCAGTCCTAATTTTTACTCCTTTTATTGTCCAGTCCCGTTTATTACTGCTATCTTCTGTAACACAGTCCTATTCTTAGTACAGCTATGTCCTGTGCAATCCTATTTTCTGTTTGCTTTCTTCAGTCCCGTTTACTGGACGATTTTTTCCATCTGAAACCAGTTTTTTTTATACAATTTTTTCAACGTTCTGCTTTTTGTGATGCTCTCTCTTTGTACATCTCACTTTTCTGTAGGATATTTTTTATAATAAAATCCTATTTTTGTAGGAAATTTTGGAATACAGTATTATTGTTTCGTCTTTCTTCTGTATTCTCTCTGTCATAAAATTCTCTTTTCTCTATTAATTAATTAAAATAATCTCATTTAGTTCTACTCCTACTCCTATATACTATTATTTTTCGTTATCAGTATTATATATAGGTTCTATATATCAAATTTTCTTTGTTGTGTATTATGCTTTATGTTTTTATACTGTTTAAAGTGCTTCTTGTATATTTATGTGTTTTCGTAATGTTTTCGATACATTTCCTTGTCTTTTTTTACGCTTCCCTGGTGTTCTTCGATCGTATTTTTCGCCTGGTGATCCTATTTTTGTCGCAAATTTTTAGTCATTTCCCTACGTATAAACTTTTTTAATAAGCAAAAACGATAGAAAATACTTCCTACATTATACAAAATATCAAATTTGTACCGAGTAAAACCAGTTTATAAGTTAAAAAAAGGTTAAAATTAAAAAAACACACACGAAACGATGTCTGGTACTGATATAAAAATCACGTATTACCCCGTAGACGTATCCATTGTTCGTGGTGAAGTGCAGATTGCCCTCTGTGCGATGCTACATTTAGCAACCTATCCCTCCTCGTGCAAAAGTGGGTCGTCAATTGAACGCAAGCACCCATTGTATTCCTCGTCTGGATACGTTCAGGAGAAAGAAGACATCTGCAAAAGCATTATCGATATGTCATATACAGTGTACTATCGTACAATTTTCCAGCCAATTTCTGTTAAAAATAAAAGAAATAATTAAAAATCGAACCCTTCTTTCGTTACTGCTCGCTTTAATTTATCATTTTGAGAAATTACCTTTACTAGAATTTGTAGAGGAGTTACAAAATTACGCTTGACAAGCGAAGCGTTGAATGACAAACGTCCCCTTAATCACTCGAAAAGTGTCAAATTCACAAAATTTCTATTTTTACGCTTAATTTAACTTTTAAAAAAAAGTGTAAAAAATTTTAAAGGAATTTGTGTAAATAAGAACACCAGAAAAACGGTTTAAGAGATACAAGAAATGCTACAGAATAACGGAAGAAATACACAAACATAGATAAGAAACACTAGGAAAACAAAAACTGTACGAGAAACACTAAGAGAACACATGAACACTACACACGAAACACTGAAAATACATAAACAACACACAAGAATACCGAGACACGAACACTACAGAAAGCATAAGCACTACAATAAACACTAGAAAAGACTTATAATAAAACTGTAAAAAGTAAAATTTATATAAACACATAACACTACGAAAACACCACGTAATAAAGAAAATTGTATATATATATATAAGACTATAATTCGAAAACGTAATTAAAATGATATGTTTGACTGGCATAAAACACAAGTTTATCGGTGATATCTCCTTTCTAATTATATAAATTATATGGAATTTTTATGATATTTCGATATGACTCATAGTTTTCGAGACATTTTCGACTCAGTGTTTACCCAATTTCTAAGAAAGTTATGTAGGCCGATCCACTTTTTTGTTATTTGAATTAGATCAATAGTTTCGAACCGAGGAAAGAGGAATGTTTAAGCTTTATACTGACATATTTTGCTCCTTGATTCTACACTTTTAAAGGAAGTTTAAGTCCTGGAATTTTCTTTTTTTACGTGTCTTAGCCTACATAAATTTGACTTATTGTGTAATTTCATGTACTCCGCATTATGAGAACAGTTATAGGAGTATCTCTTAATTACATTTTTTCCTATTATTAAGTTCTATTTTTGTCAATATTTTATTTATAGTCTTATTTTTTCGATTGTCTTCTGCTGTATAATCATACTTTTGTTCGATTTTTTTCCTATTTTACACTTTAATTTTTCAATTTTTATTTACATAATCTTATTTTTTGTAAGGATTCGGTTTAGTTTTTATCAAATTTGATTCCGTTTCATCAAAATCCTTCTGTAACAGTTGCCTTTTTCTTCTTGTAGTCCTATTTCTTTCATAGATTTTCTCATTCTTATTTTTAAAATCCAATTTCTTTAGTTGATTCTTTCTTCAAATAGTCCTTTTCTTGATCCTATTTCTTTTACATAATTTTTCTTTAATGTATGTCTCATTAATTCTAACAATTCAAACTTTTTTCTAGTTTATAGTCCTCTAACATTAGCCATCGATATAGTCCTATTATCTCAAATCTACACCTTCAAAATCACATTGAATAAGACTATCTTTCTGCTTTATAGTCCTATTTTTGTTAAATATTCCATTTTCTATATTTAAATCCTAATTTTTAATATTTTCACTCTTAAGGATTCTATTTTACCCACGAATTCTTTAGTAATTTAACACAAACACTCCATACTTTCTCTACTGGACAGTTTACTTTCGAGAGAAATTTCAGACGAAATAGTCCTCCGTGTAGTCCTGTTTTTATTCAATTAAAAGTCCTAAAGATTAGAGAATAAAATGCAATGTTTTCTTTAGGGAAAAAAATTAATTTTTGGCAAAAGAAAAGGTCCCGATGCCGAAAGAATGCAAGATTCTATTTAAGTGTCAGGTGATGCGTGTTTATTTAATTAAATATATATTAAAATTTTTTTAAGAGGGGACATTTTAAGTACGTTGGAAACACGATAAACATCGTGTAAATTTCTTTTTTTTAATCACGATTTTTTAATGGAGGAAGTATAGTACTCAATGACGAGTATGCGGCCTTAGTTAGTGAAGAACCGTGACAATAACAGGAAAAATACGAAGAGCTATAGTGTATAAGATGCAGTAGAGATGTCTGGCCACGGTTGTAAAATTGACACGGAGGTTAAAGGTCACCTTTTCTGTTGTCCCTGAACCTCTATGGCTAGGGAAACAGGTCTTTTGCCAGAGGGTCTTCCAGCGCCGAAAGTGACAGCTCCTATTGTTGATGTTGCAAACTGGACGCCATTCCAAAAACCCAAATGACTCAAACACATTCTTGTTTATGCTTAATACCTTCTTTTAAAAGCCATAAAACGGTTTAAAAGTTATAATTATCCATCGATATATTTGTGTATTTATATACATAAAAAAAGGAAGATCTTTTATCGATACGGCTCTGAGTTAACCGCGCATTGCAAGTTAATTAGGTACTTGAGAAAAAATCGATTATTTTTCTTTTATCGAGTTTATAAAATTGTGTTTTTTAAACAATTGCTCGGTTAAATTCAACAAACGACGTCCACAGTCAGGTAAACAGCAGGCTATCCAGGGTAATGGCACCTATGGTATGCTGTAGCTTGATATGTAGTTGAGCCTCGGGGTATATGCTAGACATTGCTGGAAGGGTAGCTTTTATCTAGCTGTTTAAAGAGTTTCTATATGCGGAACTCGGCGAATTTTCTCGCTTTCTCGTACAGAAGTGTTTAATATACAAATATAAAAATAATTTCTGTAAAAAAACACGTCACTCGCAACGTTCCTCTTAAGCGAATCCACGCTTCGATGGGAGTTGACAGCATCAATTTTTGAATTTTTCACAATGAATAATTAACAATCGATTAGTTTAGATAAAGATAAAGAAATTCTTCTATATTTTTATATTGATTAATTATACGAGGAAATTAATTTTACCAAAAGAAAACCAAACAAAACTTAAAGTAATCGAAAGAGCAGTTGGATTCTAATTATATTGGATGTGTCATTGATTTTGTTCAAGTATTTTTGTATTAGTGGTCGTAGGTAGAATTTAATGACTAAGGAAGACATTGTCAATAGTCATCTTTCTAGCAGAAGAAGCGGCTTAGTGGCCTCAAGCAACCATTATAACATCGTAACCATATATCGATTACATGGTCGTTGGAATATTCTCTACAATTGTAATTTTATGTGTGGAATTGATTATATGGCTGTTTAAATCTTAGAACAGAGAAAAATTTTTATATATTTCTCTATATAAATCTAGTAAATTTAATCCTTTTTCTGCATCACCAATTCTAAAAATCTCAACTGGAGCCGGGAAGGTGCCAAGAACACCAGCATCTACGATGTTTCAAGCACGATTCGCTTCCAAAAAAAACACATATATTTATACAAAAACGATAACTGTAAACACAATTTCCTAACCATTTGAATTCTAAAAAATCCTTTATTCTACAAGCTAAGAGGGAAATCTAAATAGAAACATTGTTCTGTATATGGCCGCGCGTGTGTATTTTTTTTTTTTTTTGAAGTATAGTTCTCGAACGACCCCAACAAAATATGGAAGCTGTGAAAACAGATTTATTCAAGCATCTTTTCGCCTACTCGATTCCCTGCATCGTGACTTGAATGCTGACCCATGTGCGAACACGTGGGACTACTGCAAAGTCTTGTTGGATGCATTGGGAGTGAATGCCCTCACACACAATCGTGACTTCACGTTTAAAACTTCGACGTTTTTGATGTTCTAAAAAATCAAAAAAATAAAAAAAAAAAATAAAAAAAATTTTTTTTTTGACATCCGACTGAAGAACTTTATAAAATAAATTTTATTTTATTTTTTACAATATAATTTTAAAAGTTTAACTCGACTGCTTCGCCTCTATACGTGACGATCTTTACGTGCTTCTTGTGTATTTGTATACGTGTCTATACGATTTATAGAGCAAATTATACTTTATTTTCGTCTGGAAGTGGGTGAAGAATTGTGACATTGGCCTAAATCTGTTAAGAAAATGGAAATAATTGATGGGTTGCAGATTGATAAGGCGTTTGGGACAGAAACATTTTTATTATTGTCTGGAATTAAATAAAATTACAACCATATAAAAACTCATGAATATATTACAAAGTTAAATTTTCACACTTCACGATTTTTATAATTGGAAACTAGATTTTCGTGATAACAAAGTGGAGGAAGCTCTCTCTCTCTCTCTCTCTACTTATCTGTGTAGATAACGGGGGTTTTTCTGTTTCCCTTTAAAATTTTTATAAAGATAAAAATAAATATTTATTTTAAAATTTTACTAACTTTCATTTCCGTTATATATTATATTTTTTATTCAAAAAAAATAATAATAAGGGGAAAAAAATCATCTTCTGTTACAACGTCCACTTAGAACGTTCGCATGTATAGTGGATGGCATGGTGCCCTCCAGCAAGGGGTGGAGATAGGGCGGAGTTCCTCCAACGATATCAACTCTCCAAGGTTTTACTGCCTCTCGCAGATCTTCTTCACTCGTCTCCAAAACACTTCAGGAATGTTTACTGCCCTAAAAAAATAAAAAAAAAGTCTTTTAGTCATTCTTGTTCGACAACTAAATTGCTCCAATAATCACCAAATGAATCCGATTCAGGATCCTAATCTTGTTTTTATTTTGAAGGAAAAAAATCATATTTGCAAACTAACTCGTTTCTGCCTACAAAATACGCCTCTCCCGTAAAATAATAAAAAAAACAAACAATTTTTCTTACTTAACAACACTACAAAATCGCAGATTCCACCCGAAGAAAAGGTGTATATAAATCAAGAATCTACGGTTGAAAAGTGTATAAAAATAGTGACGACACAAAGTGCTAGTGTGAAAATATCCAACACCTGTGACCGTACATACCAGGTGACATAGATAAGGGGGGAATTCGTTGGAGAACGAAGATAAGTGGCACTTGAACCTACCAATCATCAACCGACCGCCATTATTGGAAGCATTCCCTACTAGGCCACACCTAGTAAGGCTCTTAAGTAGAGAGGGACGTTATAAAAAAAAGGGCATATCAGAGGGAAAGGGTAGTTATCAGTTTCCTCGATCAGAAGTAGTGGTATATATCGTGAAGTGTAATTAAGATCAGATATCAGCCTTTAATATAGGTGCTGATGCCGTTCTAAACCGAATACAGCACTTTTCGATTAGAAAAAATACACCAATTAACACCGCAGACTCGGTTATAAATTTATTTACTGTCGCAATGTTTAATGAAGTATGTAAATAAAAGTGCTTTTTTACGTTCTCCCCTCTGTATAAATTACTGTATAAAGTTGGGGACGTGCACAGATAACTTCATTCTGCCTTCTGCAAGTATTACACTTTCGTACTGTAAAGTGATGCTCTTATACTTTCACTTTACCGTACAGACTTATGCAACCGTATAATTTGATTATACACAAAAACACCTGAATTATACTATACTTTAATTTTTACTATATAATTTTCTGCAGGTAATTTTAATAGTATTACTCAGTTATTTTTACCGAATGCAGGCTATAACTATGCTTGTATAGAAACACTTAAACAGCAGGCCTACTTATTTTTAGTAATTAAAAAACAATACTGCACGATTGAGTAGTTATAACGCTAATTATACACGATTTACAGCTATAAAGTAGTGAGGTATAGTATGCTTATGCAGGACAAATTGTATTAATTATCAAGGACTTGGTTATAATAATCATATGGTAATTAGAATCCTTATACAGTAATTTCAAGACTTAAAAGTTTGGTTTTAAACGACCCCCTTTATACAGGATTTTAAAGTTTTTAATTTTAAATGACTCTCTCTTTGACAGTTTTGGTTTTACCCTTCGTTAGACTCGAGTTGTAAGGATCTTACAGTATTTTATACAGGATCTGGTGGTCATAAACCAAATATACAGTAAAGAGTAATTGTGTAGATTAATAGAGCTTACACGAATAAGTTAAGAGTTGGATTTTAATAAAGATAAAAGTAATTAAAGGAGCTAAAATCAGATAAAAATTTGTAAATTTGCAGGCAACAGGAGTAGACGAAGCAAATAGTCTCTTCTCAGGGGATCATAACAGTGTCATCAGAAAAGGTGAGTGTGTATTTTTTCTACACAATACATTAATTAAAAAATAAAATAAAATGAAAAAAAGCCCAGCAAAATTGACTCGGCAGGTATCGATAGACGTCGATAAGTAGGATAATTCTAATCGAAAAAATGATTGATAATTTACCAATTAATCTCATTATTGACAAAGTAATAAGAGGAATTTCTTGCTTTTTTGATCTTCGTGACATTTTTTTATGTCAACAGATTTGACACGAAGCTTTCTAATTAAGCTAAACACGCAACAATATTTAAAGTAATGGAGGGAATGATGTAAAGAGGAATAGAAAAACTGTTCGTATCGAACACCTGTTTCACTAACTAAAACTGGTCTTGCTTCCTGTAAAACATCTGTTCTATGTAAGATAGATAAGGAAGTATTTACTTATATTAAAAACTAGAATTTATTTGATACTATAGCAAAAATAATTTGAACTGATCTTATTATATTCACCCTCTACCCAACGCTACTATCGATCATCTAGGCGTGATTTCATGATATACAACTTAACTTTACTAACTAAATTGCCTTATTATCGTCCTCTTTCGGGTATATCTTTAATATATCTCTTAATATGGATCATCTTCCCTCACTATAAGACCCGTACTAAGATTTAAACGAGCCTATATACCCTTTTTAAAAGGGAATTTATGGGTAGTTTAGTGTGGTTTCTATGATAAATAAAGTAAATTATTTCGATAAATTTTGGTCGAACATACAGTGTAGTCCCTAAATAATTAAGAGATGAAGCCTCTTAAGTTCTAATTAAAATTCTAAGTAAAATTTCTGTACAAATAAATTCTTATGTAAGATTTTTATAAATAGAATTCTTAGAAGTAGGCTATATAAAAGGAACGAGACAGGAGTTAATGCGCGATGAATTGTAATGTGTTTTTCTCTTGAAATTCGTAGAAATAGGTTTGAAATATCAAAATTCTTGACAGGTATCAAGCCAAGGAACAGTGACAATCACAAGGAAATGGTGATCACAGGTGTGACGTCGCCAACCGATGTGTTTTGTTCCGTGCCTGGACGCCTTTCGCTGCTCAGTTCAACATCCAAGTACAAAGTTACTGTGGGAGAAGTGCAAAGAAGGCTATCACCGCCCGAATGTTTAAACGCTTCTTTATTAGGAGGTGTACTTAGAAGGTAATTCCTACCTTTATATTTGATAAGTCGGATTTCGAACTGAACGAAGCGCTTTAAAAAGATTCTCGGCCATTTCGGCCAATAAACTGACAAAAAAGAAAAAAAAATGTATATTTTACATTAATTATATGCAAAAATAATCATTCTTTAAATTAATTTTCATTTTTTTCCAAGGAAAACCTGTTGGAATAACGATAGTATAAATCACGAAGGACTAAAATCATCCTTCTAAGTTATTAATTAATCAATTAAAAATTGGAAAAATATTCATTCTAAACACGTAAATATTAAGAAAACTAAGCAAAAATGGCAAAAATAAAGGACACTTTCTGCCTGGTGGATACATACGACGAATAAAAGATTGGCAATTTTTTATTGCGATTTTCTTAAAATTCAATGCGTTTTTTGGTACTTATAATATATGATAATATAGGTTATAGGTCGTAGAAGAAGTGTACCAAAAACCAGTTCCATCAATACCAGACCAATTGCGAGAAAATTGTTTTTGAAAGTAATACCCCCATCGCTCGTTACGAGTTCCACCACATATGATCAAAGAAGAAATTATAGTTATCGTGTATCATTACTGACAATAGAAAATTCCTTACCTCTAGTATTTAGATAGGATTTTTTTTAATAATCATTTTAATTACTACTTGGATTTTAATATTAAGATATTGAACGATTTATAGTTTAAGATATATTCCTATGCATACCATTCTTCGTTGGAGTTGTTGAGAAACCGGTTGGTTTTCGAATTATTAATTGAAGATTCTGTAAAAAGTAATTAAATGCCAGGGAAGATATTAATAATTTCGTAATATTTAGTGACAAAATTCTCTTGTAGAAAGTCGTATCGAAGGAGAAATTCCTTTACAAATGTGTACGATAGAGTTGTAATACCGAAACCAATTAGCCAAATGCTTAGAGCCAACGACACAAGAGACACGAGTATTGAAAATTTTCGGGGAATCTACGGCGAAATTTGTCCAAAATTAATTTTGTGCCTGTAGGAATTAAAAAGATTTCATGCTGTAGTGAACATGTTTCATTCGACAACAGCGAGAATCATTGGCCAATCATGCAGGACAAGTGATATGAGTGTGGATCCTTTATTAATGCATTTCTTCGGTTTAGTTTCCGTCTTGCTAACCACACGATATGATTAAAAGATTAAAATATAACAAGAATTCAAATTTTAGAGATAAATTAATACAAGTTTGTGAAATTTCATTCGATATTCTACAAACCCTCAGGACTTTTCACCAAATTGCCTTTACAAACTTCCAATAAATTACGATTATTTAATAGAAAATCTTCCATTTTCTCTTCTCTCTTCCAATGCGCTGCCCCCACTTCGACCCCCGGCCGATGCCGTGTTTTTAACGCGTCGTTTATTGCTAAACAAATCTTCACTTCTCGATACGTCCACCATATATATATATACGGGGATGGTTATATAGGGGGATAGGTATATGGTGTTGTTGTTCAGGTATTTTTAGAAACAGCGTAGTAAAACTGACTATCCAGGCATGACCATTTTCAGAACCAGTTTTCAGAAGTCGTTAGAAGAGGTTATTATATAGGACGGGCCGTATTCCACTCGCTACTCTCAATGCAAAGAGCTACAAACAGAGCTGTAGAATGAGAATAAATCGCCATTTGGAATACGGGATGAAAGTTTGCTTAAAATGATAAAATCCCCGCACAATTCATACATGAAAATTGCACTTTTAATCGCGCAAGTGGTGCTTCAAAATATATATAAACTGTTTGTTAGTTGGTGAACTGACAACGTGCAATCGGTGCAGTCAACTATTATCTTTCTCTCTCTTTCTCTCTCGCTCTCTCGATTGACACGCTTGTTTAAATTTGTGGACCCACCCATTCTGTGATGATAGCCTTCTGCTGAGAAAACAGTCTGGAATGCGACACTCCTTGAACAAGTAGTAGCTACTACGTTATCTCTCAGCAAAACACGGTGCTTTATTAGTGCATTTGATGAAGAGATGATGTGCAAATATTTACAAATTGATCTCTCGGAATTTGTTAGCCGTGTTTTTATGTATATTTTATCGCTTAATCTAACAAAACCTAAAATATATCTCGTGTCTTACGTTATTTAACGCTTCTCCTTCGATTTTTACACCACTGGCGCCAACCTCCCTCACACTCTTTCACGGAATTAAAACGGTGAATATTTCGCTTTTATATGGAAAAATATTCATTAGAATTTATTAGAAAATACGTCTGTTAGGTCGGTTTTAAGGAAAGAATTAAATTCTGTCCAAGTAATAAGTCTGGATAACAAACTAAACAAAAAAAAAGAAATATCTCGAGTCTGACAAGACAAGTGACGTCGTTGCTGCTGCACTAGTTATCCCAGGTAAAGCTAGCAGGTGTGGCTGGAGGAAAAGTAGCCCGAGGCGAATTCCTCTGCGGCGTCCTTTGGCCTGCAGCTTTTTCTTTACATTTGAGTACACGTAGAGAAACCGTGGGCGTACTAAGAGGCCTTCAGGCCAATTCAAATTACCTGAGGTTACTTGTGTCAGAATGTTGCCTGTAACAAATTAAAGTGTAATAGCAAAGTTAAACCTTGTTTTCTTTTTTGTTTTTCTTACACTTAACTACATTTTCCTCTTCTTCTTTTGTACGTAGAGCCAAATCCAAAAATGGTGGAAGGTCTTTACGAGAGAAACTCGAGAAAATTGGCCTCAATTTACCTGCTGGAAGGCGGAAAGCTGCCAATGTTACATTATTAACATCTTTAGTCGAAGGTAATTTTTATCATTTTTTTTTAATTTTTAATTTAATATTTGATATTATTGATAACGTTACCAACAATAGACTCGAGTTGCACGCTCGAGTGCCGTTACTTATCGCGCTTTGCAATCGATAAAAACGAATAAAAATTTAAAACATTTTATTATAAAATACTTTAAAAACGTGTAAAATTTCTATTTAAAGCAATGGCTTTCAGAGAAAACGTCGAAAAATAATATAAAAGTGCGTTGTCTTTCTCGGTTTCCTATAATAGAAAATGTTAAAATGAGTAATTTCGAAAGGAAGAAAAGAAAAGAAAAGAAAAAATAATAATAATAAAATCCCGAGTAAAGCTTTGAAAAGTAATTTCTTCCGTATCTCGTAAATGGAATATCCGAGAATCTCTTCCAACATTTCCGGAAAATAATGGAAACTATTATGTGGTAATTGAAAACAATCGTCAGAAAAATAGGATTGTTGGTTTGTCGTACGTTGAAAAATAGAAAAGAGTTAAAGTAAAGAACAGCTTCTTTACAGCTTTACGTCAATATTTATAAGCATATTTTAATAGTCTGTTGTTTTTATATTCTCCTTTTTTTCCCTCTGTTCTCTAAACTCCAAGATGATAGGTTATGTCGGAAACTAAAGCTCAAACAGTTCTTCTATCGATCGAAAAGCTAACCTATCTCTACTTTACTGATGACAAAGACGGGAAATTCAATTTCCTACAGCCGTCATATTTACGTCACAGAAATCGTTTTTTTCCAACACCGTCACTCGCGCCGTGTCCACTGCAATCGAAAAGACTCGTAGTTTCCTGCAGTTTGTCGTCTTCTAGTTGGGTGTCGCATAATGCTCTTACCATTGTGGTAGACCATTGACCGGCGAAGAACTAAATACATACAAATATGGCACAAAAGTAGCCGGTCGAATGTATAAAACCATCCACAACACTCTTTATTCTCACTGCTAACAATGGCCAGCGACCTTGAAGTTATTCAGACATTACAAACTCGCTCGGCAATCAAGGTAGCACCTACTTGTATGAACCATATTCGTCCTTGGTTACAATGGAAGTTTCTACACTCACACGCGGATATTTTCAATACGCGTTATTTTTTTTTCTAAGAATACATTGTGCAATTTACTTTATTCTCAATTGTAGTTTTTGGCATATTTATAGGGGAAGCAATACACTTAGCAAGAGATTTTGGTTACGTGTGTGAGACGGAATTCCCTGCTCGGCAAATGGCAGAATATCTATGTCGAAATCATAGTGATCCGACTGATATGTATAGAAGAAAAGAATTGCTCTTAGCCACGAAGTAAGTAATTATTAAATTACCGCAAAATTAATTATTTAAATTCATTTTATTATGTTAATTATATCCTCAATTGAAAAAACAAGGGAAAAAATCGGATTAGCTCCATCCCTCATCCAGTTAGTAGCGTGGCTCCATCTGGCGTTAAAAAAATAAGTCTTTTAAAAATATATTACCGGTTATAAATCACTAGACGTTTCATTAAAATATCTATCGGGCTTCTATCTAATATCAAATATATAAGTAGACAGCGTGTCAGATATTTTTGATTATGCAGAATGCAAAATGGTAAATGCACGTACAAACCTATGTCTTGACAGTTAGTTATAGCTCGAGGCGAGCAATTAGAGAATGACAACTACGGAACAACAGTTTGACGTACGGTTAAAGTTTTAATCGAGTTTTATTAGATTTAAACCATTCCAATAGACAAATGCAATATGCCATGTACCTTAAGACGAATGTTTTTTTCCCTTCGTACTCCTTTTGTTCCGTGTTTTCATAAATATCATGGGTCCAAAATTGGGTGATGAGTGAAAGGTCCCGACATATTTGAGGATAGACTGATGCTTTGGCTGAATTTGTAACTTTATATGTTAATTTTTAGATTTAATAACTTCATATAATTTCTGTTTGTTGATAAATTTTATCATTTCTTTCACAGGCAAATGATGAAAGAGTTCATAGACTTGTTGAACCAAGATCGTTCTCCATTGTGCAATACCAGGCCACAGATTATCTTGGAACCCAATATTCAACGTCAACTTACTCATTTCTCATTGATAACTCATGGATTCGGTAGTCCTGCGATAGTAGCTGCGTTAACAGCAGTACAGAACTTTTTAAACGAATCACTGAAATACCTCGAAAAACAACTGTCCAATTATCAGACTCCAACATCAGCGCACGTCACCAATGCAACTGGTAATGTAGACACGAAGAAGGAAGATCAGAAGAAATAAAAAAAAAAAAAACAAATACACAATTGTAATGAAGATAGTCGAAAATGACGATGTGCTCAAAAATATTTCATCGATTCGACTCTCATTTGCACACTCCCACAGACAAAAAATAATAATGTTTTATGACATGATTAAGAGATGCGCACATGTGGTCGTGTGTTGTGAATTTCTTCGATTTCAGGCACTTAAAAGAAGCTCAAAAATATATTAAAAAATGGACATTCCTTAAGGTTTTGGTGCTTGATATAATCGAAGACTTTATAAAAAAAAACAAAAAAATAAAATATTGTGAAGATCTTTCTTCACGGATGGTATTGTTGCAATACAAATGTTGCCAAACTTACAACTGGAGTATTTTTTGGTTGCCAAATCTTTTAAGCAATTTGTCTTCATCTGTTTCGTTGTTCCATGATATAGGCCTTTTGTAGTATGGTGTAGAAAAGAAGTGGCCAAAAAAAAATTTACTAAAATTTACTGTTTTCTCCGTTTCTTGTTACGATAGAACGGAGTCCTGTACTTAAACGAGAGTACAAATATCAGAATTGTAAAAAATATCAGAGAAAAAAAAAATTTATCTTTTGCCAAACTGCAGTTATAAATGCCATACTCTGTATTTAAAGACTGGATGAGCCTACCTCGTAAAAGGAACAGCTCTGTTGTTTGTGCCACAACGGAATAGCTTTATAAAGAAGGCAGCTTGTACTTATATAGTATATAAATATAAATATAAATATACATGTATACACACAAAAAAAAACCATAGCTGAAGTGGACGAGTCACTCAATAATACTCGTCGATGATGTGTTTTTAATTTCTATTTTTTCTGTTTCAGTTCCAACAAATAATAAAACAACCCGCGAATTTGTGTCAAATGTTTTTGGTGGAGTGAACCTAGATTACGTTTTTCCCCCTAGGGTCTGGATTAATAGATAGCTTGGTAAGCTGGTGTTGTGTAGTGGTATCGTAGGCAATTTTCTAGAAGGTTCTTAATGGTCCATTAGTTGACTGGAAAAAAAGGATATATTAACGTCATATTGAAATCAATAATTTCTGGTCAGTCTTCGATCAAATCCAGTTTTATGAATTGAAGAATGTCAGCTGATGAACAAAAAAATAATACAAAAAAAAAGTATGTTCTCTTAGTACCGTGTTTCCCTCATCCAGTTGTCCAAAAAATATTAAAGAATTAAAGCTATCTATGGAAATGGGAAATGGGGATCTCCCAGTAATCGTCCAAACTGTTCTAGTCCTCTTTCCGAAATGGTCAGTGCATTTATTTCTTCTATAATCAACACTACAATGTACGCCAGTATTAATTTCATCATTTTCCTTGGCTTTTTTTTTTTTTAATTATTAACTGCTGTTGATTTTTTGGAACGGGAGTATCGAGCCAGCTGATTGGTTGCCAGTGTTAATCTCTCGTTTTACATGTTGACGTCTTCCTCATAGGCGGCCCTCTTTGCTGGAGCTTTTAAACTCCTGCTGCCATACATGTTGTACCATGGAGATTCTTACAGATTTGTTTTATTATTATTATTATTTTTTTAAAAAACATATCGCCATTATTTTTATTTTTTAAAAAAAACGTGTGTTATATTTAATTTTTCGTAAGTTATCTCCATGATTTAAAAAATATTAAAAAATAAAAAAAAATTAAATAAAAAAAAGACGGAAAAACGAATGAATAAAAGTGGTTCCCTACAGTATAATAGTGTATGTTTTTTTTTATTTAAGATATAGGAAATTTATTAATTTATTTAATAAATAAACATTCTGTTTCAAATCTGAATCATTTTCCTAAATTAATCATTTAAAAGTTTTAATAATTTTTCAAACATTCGTTTTGGTATTAATTATGTTAATTTCTGAAACAGATTAATAAAAATTCACGTGGTAAAATAATTTGCATATTTGTGAAATAGATTATTTTATTATGCAAATTTTTATTAATCTATTGTTTGAAACAGATGACTTTAATCCATATCTATTTTTAATTGGTTAATTTCTGAAACAGACGATTCAAAATAGAACAATTGTTAAACAATTAGATTCAGATATTTAATCTGTTTCAGAAATTAATTAATTCACAGTCACGATTTTATAAATTGTTTCAAAGATGAAAGATAAGTTCGGAATGAAAATAAATTTAATAAAAAAAAATAAGAGGCGGAAATTCTTTCTGTTTAAACAGCCAAATTATTTAGATAATGGGGTATAAATGCCACGGATGCACGAGTATAATGCTCTGGTTATAGGTAGCGTAAATACCATTCTATTTTCTAACATTTCCTCGCGTTATATCGAACTTATAACAGTGTTAAAAGCGGTTTACGATATAGAAATATAAAGGCAGAGAATATATGGAATAGTATAAATGAACACATCCCAGAATATAATCATTTGGAAAGTTATAAAATTTTGACACCAATGGACATTTGAACAAGAGAAACCTGTCTAAATCTCAGCAGGTGTTCTGACAGAGGCAAAACGTAAATCTTACCTTTTACGGTTTAAACACAGTAAAATATGACCGACCCCATCCTTAGCTACTCGAAAGAAAGACATATTTACGACTACAAGTTAATATAACAGCGATAGAATCTAAAAGTTCAAACTACAATATCTGACAATTAATTAAAATTTGCGTTATTTAAGAGGGGGACAATGATCTAATATATATATGTATTTATTTATTTATCTAAAATAATAGAATATATATGGTAAAGATTATGATTTATTATTAAGAAATTTTAATTAAAAAGGGAAAAATAATTACAGGAAGAAAATAGAGTGAAAAATTTTTATTTTGATCAGTTGTCAAATGTGATTTTAAGCGACAATTGTATATTAATTTTCTACGACCTTTCACCAAAGTAAACAATTCTTCGAAAGTTGCTCAAGGCGTGTTGATGATGTCCTTGAGATAGTCTACTTTGTCCCTGTTTTGATAGAAATAGTTCTACTGACAAGTAGTTTTTTTGGATAGAAGAAGTTTGAGCCAATTCGTCTATTGTTAACTTTGTTTGCTTCATGCCGACGACAAAGAAATACAGGAAAACCAGCGGATATTATTGACAGCTCCATAACAAAAACTATATAAAGAATATATCGATGTAGTTGACAATATAAAAAAGAGCAAACCTATACCTAAGAAGCGCGTCATTCATTTAGTTTTCTAAGAAATTTTTAAAAATGGTCATTTGAATCCTTTTTAACGGNTTTAAATGTTGCCAGTTAATTAGATTAAAAAATTTGCATAATTTTAATAATAATAAATTTAAAATAATTACAAATTATTATAATTTGATTCAATTAATATGCAAAAAAATATCAATTTATCAATATTATGTAAACGGGTTGAAATGGTTTGCATCAAAATGGAGGGAATTCTTTTCTAATAAAATGTCTTTATTTTTTCCGTTGAAGGATATCTTTTGATATCCTTAAATGGAAAAAAATAAAGACATTATTGTATAAAAAAAAAGATTGCAATTTTGTTTGGGGAAGAAAGATTGTTTGTAAAAACATCGTAAAAATACTCAAGATCTACTATCGCCACTTCGAAATCGTAAAAGTGAACCTTTGGTTTAGAACTTTATAGACCAGATAGGGTGGATAATAATGACTTGTCAATTACTGCACAATTTACTGGTAATAAAATAGACTAAGTGCAGAGTTTCAAAGGTGGACGCCAAAGAGGATTTTTAAGAACTACCAGACATCTTTAAGTATTCTTTAAGACTGAAATAAACTTTTTCTTCTTTTCCAATTAGCGATCTCTCGCCGAATAGTCTTCTAAACCAATCAATTCATTACGTCTTATCTTTAAAATTAAAAGTTTATTTTCGGTTAGAGTTCCTCATCACGTCTCTAAAGAGTCTAACTGTTATAAAAATACACAATATTCTTAATAGGTCTATCCAGAATGGAAGTTCTTCACTTGGTTTCTTCTTCTATTAATTTTACAATGACCTTAATCTAACAATTTTTTAAATGATTAGAAACAAGTTCTTTAGCGATTGAAAAAATAAAAATTTGGGTAAAATTCAATATAATTTTTTAAACTAATTTTTTTGTATCCTATAGCTACTAGCGTGCCGATAACATATTAGTTATTGTCTATTGTTACGTGATTAAATGTATTGTTTGAGAGAAAGTAATGACGTGTCTATAAAACGAGGATAATTAATTATAAATTCAAGAAATAAAATAAAACAAGAAGTTAAAAATTCAAGGAATAAATCAAAACCGGATATTATAAATTAAATAAACAAATTGGAGCCTATATACAATGTACTCGAGAGAATTAATGCCAAATAATAATAAAAAATCAAGGAATAAACCAAAAACCAAGCATTTAAACTTGATAATTTGGATAGATAAATTAATTAATCACTGCTATGAAATAAAATCAAGGAATAAAACTAAAACTGGCAAATCTATAAATTATAAAATCAGGAAATTAATTAAAAATCTTGTTATAGAATGAAGAAATAGAATAAAATGAAGATAAAATCAAATTAGACAGTAAACTAACGATCATAAACATCGTTTATTAGTGTTTTAGTATAATTTTCATTTAGAAAAGCCCGAAGAAATATCATTTATTTTTAATAATTAAAATTCTAAGTGGTTATAAAACCAGAAATGCGAGATGCAAATGAATATATATGATGAGATCAATTTGCTAGTCGATGAAAGCTCTCATTAACTTTAATAATACCTTTAGAGAGAACTAAACAGAGTTGAACTGAGATAAGATACAACCTGAATAAGGTACATCCACTAAAACAATTACTTGTTTTAATCAGATACTGTAGGTTAGGGTGATGCCTGTGGCATCTTCAAAGAGGAAAACCTGAACCGAGACTACTTGTCCTGACTTAATTTTCCGAACCATCATCTGGTCGACGTTCTTCATTAAAATAATTTGTGGCAATTAGTTGCCTCTTTTGTATAGAAACATCATAAGATTCGAAGAAAGAAATCGTCGGACGACGTTAAAATTAGTTAGAAATTTAACATATTCATCTCTGAATAATTTCAATTTAATTAATTCCATCGATATCAATGATATCGCTTAATGATGTTAATTCATTTTGGCACCGATAAATCGCCAAAATATAAACAATTTTACGCATCCAAAATAAGAATTTCCTGCCGTATTTATTCCTAATCAATAGCGCAATATATCTATCAAATTTTTTAAAAAATTGTAAAATAAATAATCTAAAATATCCTATATTTTATCATATAAATATATTTATAACTCATTTATAACAATAACATTAAGATAGTTAGTTACAAATTTACTAACTTATATCATGCGAGCGGCTCTGTATAGAATTTATACTAAAGCCGGAGAGTGGTTTATATCTTCCGAACTTCAGTATATAGCATGACAAGGGGGGTAAAAAAACCCGTAAAGATATACGAAATAACTTGGATTATACGCTGAGTTATAAAAAAATTTGACAGGTGTAATGAGAGGTTTTTGGTAGTGCCTTTGTGTAGGCCGACAACTCTCGACATCTGGTAATACCTTCAATTCCAACAAGTCCTTTACATCTTACAGCTGGAGTGATATACCTTGCAGTGTCGGTAATATATTTTGGGTAATACCAGAGGTATGTGCTATTGTTGCTTGTATTTTTCAATATATTACATAAATATATTTATTCATTTTTATGAACGAGTAGTTTGAATGCCACATTTTTATCGATATAATACGGAAAAAAGGCTATTTTGTATAAAAAAAACAGCGCACGATACACATAATTAATGACACCATTCTGAATAGCCGATATGTTTACACAGCGATAAAAAAATAATGAAATTTCTTCGATTTTTTTTGNATAATGTTTTATGACATGATTAAGAGATGCGCACATGTGGTCGTGTGTTGTGAATTTCTTCGATTTCAGGCACTTAAAAGAAGCTCAAAAATATATTAAAAAATGGACATTCCTTAAGGTTTTGGTGCTTGATATAATCGAAGACTTTATAAAAAAAAACAAAAAAATAAAATATTGTGAAGATCTTTCTTCACGGATGGTATTGTTGCAATACAAATGTTGCCAAACTTACAACTGGAGTATTTTTTGGTTGCCAAATCTTTTAAGCAATTTG